CACAATTACAGCCTTGTTCACTGTCATTAAAATACATTTAATAAGCACCATTTTTTCATGGTCTTCTGCCAAAATCTGCACAAAGGTACTACTGTCCCTAGCCCTGAAATAGTGGATAGAGCACTGGACATGGGGAGGAAAGGCCTAGGTTTCAATCCTGGGTCCACCTGGGAATGTTCTTTAAAAACCTTAGTTGCAAGGAACAAGCCCTCAGAAGAATCAGCTCACAGGGCTCGGGTGGGACAGAGGGTTGACTATAAAAATACACGCACACTGAAATGGGAATGTGAAGCCATTGAGAACCAAGGGCGCCGCTGACTGTCAGCTGTGATTTCTTTCCTGCTGTGTCTGATTTCCTCTGCGTCCCTCTTCTAACTCCAGCCTACCTCCCACCAAGGCTCATGTTTGGGATTCCCAACTACTAACTTTTCTGTTTCTTAATTCAAGTTCTCAATTCATAATATAATTGTCCCAGCTCATTTTTGAAAGTCAGACCTTGTAATGGTACATTGAAGAGTGGCTGCTTGTGGGATAAGGTCAAACAACTCCAGGATCCAGAGAAGCCTCATGCGACCTACTTCCTTCTCTCAAAGAAGTGTGGCAGGCCAGAAAGTCTGAGGCCTGGCTCGTCCAAAACACATGGACATGTTATTAACCTCTCCCAGACCTTGTTTTCTCAACTGTATTATGATGGTGCCCCAGCCCACAGAGTATCACCATGCATTCAAAAATCATTTATTGTGCCCAGCCGATGTGCCGCAGTGGTTGAGCATCGACCCATGCACCAAGAGGTCACTGGTTCAATTCTGGGTCAGGGCACATGCCCAGGTTGTGGGCCCGATCCCCAGTAGGGGGCATGCAGGAGGCAGGCAGTCAATGTTCTCTCTCATTGATGTTTCTATCTCTCCCTTTCTTTTCCTCTCTAAAATTAATAAAGAAAAAAAATTTTTAGGAAAAAAGAAGGAGGCAGACCCGGAGGTGCTAACTCCCACGTGGACAGGTGATGTCGGAAGTCCCTCGGGAACATGCGGAGATGGTGCGTGGCTCTGCAGCTGGGTTTACCGGCCTGTTGCCAAACACAGGAGGCTGGGATGAAAGTCTAGATGTGGAGGCATCAAAATGCGGAAGCATCTGAGACTGAGGGTCAAGAGAAGGTGCAGTGTGAGAGTGAAAGGATCCATGGTGGGGAGCATGGATGGACACCTGTCTGCAGGGGTGAGGCCAGTGAAGGGATATTCGCTGTCACTGGAAGAAAAACTCACCATCCCTAAAATTAGCTGCTCACTCCCCTTCTGCCACTCCCATTCTGAAAGGCTCAGTTATGGACTGAGGCTCCCTGCGGCTCTGCCCTAGTCCAGGACTCCTTCTGCTCGCCTACTGATACAGACGGCTATCCTCGCTCTGAATACAAGAAACTGCACTGGGAAACATTTGTTCTAGGGAAGGATTTAAGATGGGGAGACATGTACCTCTAGGTCAGCTGAAAGGAAAACCGTTCATGAAGCAGAGACTGAAGATTGACAGAAGCAAAAGAGGTAAGTGATGGAGATGGAGAGTGTCTCTGATGGCTCCAGAGCGGAGTGAAGGGGCTGGCCTTGGACAGGTGGTAGCAAGAGGAGGGCATCAAGGAAGTGGCCCAGCTCACTGGATAGAGGAAGGGGAAGGAAGTTACATGTTGACAAGGAGATAGTTCACACACAGCTGAAATCCCTGTGAATATAGAGAGAATGTGAGAAGAGGGAGCAGGTACTTATACAATGTGGGCACCAGAACAGGCAGCAAGGTAATAAATATGGAGCTGGTGAGGGGCCTTAGATATATAAAGTACAAGCCAACGTGTTACAATATAGTGCACATAGTATCTGTCAAGGTTATGTGTATTTGGAGATGAAAGTAGCCACACCCGGCTAGTGTGGCTCAGTGGTTGAGCATTGACCCATGCACCAAGAGTTGCTGGTTTGATTCCGGGTCAGGGCACATGCCCAGGTTGTGAGCCCAATCCCCAGTGGAGGCATGCAGGAGGCGGCCAATCGACATTCTCTCTCATCGATGTTTCTATCTCTCCCTCTCCCTTTCTCTCTAAAATCAATAAAGAAAAAAATTTTTTTTAAGAAAGCAGACATTTCACATATTGCAGTTTTTTAGTAGAAAAGGACTCAGGGAAAGTCATCACGTTTCCTCTGATAAATCCTGCATAGTTCATAGAGAATATTAAGAGAAAACACAGAGATTGACGTTTAGGCAAGCAAGTACCTGGCGAGGGACTGAGGTGGCCTCTAGGAGCTGAGAACGCCTTCCAGCTGACAGCCAGCAAACTGAAGAACTGAATCCTGCCAACAACCTGAGCGAGCTTAGAAGCAGATCCTTCCCCAGTCACACCCCAGGTGAGACCATGTGCTGGTCAACACTTTGTGCAGCCTTGTGAGACCCTCAGAGCAGAACCCAGCTAAGCCATGATCAGGTTTCTGACTCACAGAGACTGTGTGAAAATATATATGTGTTGTTTTAAGATGCAAAGTTTGTGATAATACTTTTGTGCAACAACAGAAATCTAATACTACAAGGTATGATGTTTAATTTTACTTGTCAACTTAACTGGGCCACAGTGTGCACAAACATTATTCCGGATGTTTCAGTAAGGGTGTTTTTGGAAAGGATGAACATTTAAGTAGGTAGACCCGAGTAAAGCAGATTGTCCTCCTAATGTGGGTGGGCCACATCCAATCAGTTGAAGGCCTGAATCGAACAAAAAGGCTATTTTTTCCCCAAGTAAAAATATTCTTCCTGCATGACTACCTTCAAACTGGGACATCAGCTTTTTTCCTGCCTTCAGACTCTCACTGAAGCATCAGTTCTTCCTGGGTCTCAAGCCTGCCGGCTTCTGAACAAGAACTCCACTGTCAGCTCTCCTGGTTCTCGGGTCTTCAGGATGCAAAAGGACATACAGATGTCACTGCAATATCCTTTCAACTTTTCCGTATGTTTGAAAATATTCAAGATAAAAATTGGGGAAAACGTTCTGAAGTTGGAAAGTCGGGAAACATTCAAAGGCTCCTACAAAGAGTCATTAGACTTTCTCCCTTATTCTCAACCTCCCTCCTTTCCCTTTTTCCTCAGTAAATCTACTTTACTCAACATGAGATTTTATGACACATAATAGACACTGTAGTTGAACATAAATAATAAATGTGAACCCTCTTTTGTGCAGATTTATGCTGTCTAAACATTACACTGAGCAAGACTGGCCTTAACCTTTGTTCTGCAAATGTTTCAGAATTTTTTCTATGGCCACATTACAAGATAAATGTCAATGTAAATGAAAGCTTTTCTATAAAACTCAGCAGCTTCACAGATGGCCTTTAATTCATAGTCACAAAAGATAAGACTAGGTCCCACCAGAACATAACGCTACTCTCGATGCTGTATGAGGTCAGTGAAGTAAGCTCAGACTCTGTCCTCTGGGAGTAATCAGCCAAACTGAAAAAATTACATAAAGGCAAGGTTTTACCTAGAATTAATATAAGCACTTTTATCAGAAACCTTAATAATTATGCCATTTTGCCCCAGGTTGCTTTCTCTGATGTGACTTGATGAATTATCCCATACAGAAAGCGAACAAAGTTAGCCAGAGGCAAACAATAGAGATAGGCCTCAAATTCATTTTCTAAAAAACATACCTTGAGGAAACCTTTAACCACTGAGGTCCTGTTTTAAAGAGATCTGTCACATGTAGAGCCGTTGTTCTCCACTCTGGCTGTACGTGAGTATACCCTGGGGAGCTTTAAAAAATACTGGTGCCAGAATCCCACCCCCTCATTCCAGAGGCTCCAGTGTTAGTCTGGGTGTGGACAGGGCATGGACATTTTTAAGTTTTCCTAGTGATTCTAATGTGCAACAAAGTTTTAAGAATTATTGTAGTAGAAGCTCAATACATAGTGAGTGGCTAAATGAACTCTTTCCATATTCAGATACTAAAGTGAATCAACCTAAAAGTACTAAGCAATGGTGCTCTGTGATCTAGGCTACTTGTGCTGTAACCAAGGAAAAAGAGGGTCTAAGATGGAGACAGGACTCGAAGTTCTTTTGGATTAGAAATAGCCATAGCAACAGGCGATAATGAGTCTGAAAACAAAGACCTGGTAGCATGAGAGCTGCCTTCACATAACTCAAGGGTACACTCAAGGGCAGAGCTAGGGTCATGGGTCACTGCTAAAGGAAGGTAGATTTTGTCATAAAACAAGACTTTCTTTGTTGTTGTTGTTTCTTTTTTTATAAAACAAGACTTTCTTAAAAAGCAGGTTGTCTGGGGATAGATTGGGTTGCCCTGAAATTGTGAGTGACCGGTCACTGTAGGAACTCAGGCACTGGCTTTTTGACCTCCAGGCCAGCCTGTTTCATAGGAAACCCCTGTGCCAGGTTACACTAAGCGTATTTGTTATTTTTGGGCCATCCAATATCCCTTTGCTCTTTTCCTAGTAACAGCCGGTTCACAGGCCAATGCTCTAACCACTGAACAAAACCAGCTAGGGCAAAAAAAGACTATTTAGATACCAAGAAAGAGTTCTTGGAAATGTTAGATCTCACCAAAAAACTTTTTTAAGAAACCATTGATTAATGTACCACGGCTGTGCTCAGTGTCCTTAAAAGCATACTTCATTCAGTGCACTGCTTGATAAACCCTTTGTACTATATTACTGAGATGCCTGAATTCTGTTGACAACTATATATATATGAAATACTTTTGATATTTTCCATAAATCTCAGTTGTTAAAATTAATTAATTCAAATGAGATAGTGCCCTGGCCGGTTTGGATCAGTGGTTAGAATGTTGACCCGTGGACCAAAGAGTTGCAAGTTCGATTCCAGTCAAGGGCCAGGTCGTGCGGGAGGCAACCAATCGATGTGTCTCTCTCACATCAATGTTTTTCTCCCCTTCTCTTCCTCCCACTCTATCTGAAGATGAATGGAAAAATATCGTTGGGTGAGGATTTTTTTAAAAAGTGCTCCCCTCAGCAGCACATATACTAAAATTGGAACGATACAGAGAGGATTAGCATGGCCCCTGAAGGATGACACACAAATTCATTGAATCATTCCATATTTAAATAAAAAAATAAAATACAATGTTAGTAATGAAAAAATCACTTATGAAGTGAAAGATAAAGTTGAGGAAATCTTACCAAAAGTGGAACAAAAAGACAAAGATGAAAATAGGAGAGAAAGTATGTAATTATTCCAAAACTATTCACATGCTAAAAACAGAAGACCCAGAAAAACAGAGAAAATAGAAACAAATAGCCTGGCCGGTGTGGCTCAGTGGTTGAGCATCGACCCATGCACCAAGAGGTCGCTGGTTCAATTCCCAGTCAGAGCACATGCCCAGGTTGTGGGCCTGATCCCCAGTAGGGGGCATGCAGGAGGCGGCCAATCGATGATCTCTCTCATTGATGTTTCCATCTCTCTCTTCCTCTCCCTTCCTCTCTTTCTAAAATCAATAAAGAAAAAAAATTTTTTTAAGAAAATCAAAACAAATAAATTGTCAAAGAAATAATTAAAGAAAAAGTCCTAGAACTGAAGAACAGGAGGGTTCATAGTAAAAGGTCCCACCACTGAAAGTACAGCAAAATTAAATGTGAAAGACCCCCAGTGAGGCCCATTATTGTTGTCTCCGAAGACAAACCTTACTGGCATAGGGCTTGGGAGAAAGTACAGATCAAAATGTATCATTAAAGAAAGGTCTTGCCCAGATTCTGAAATGCAAATTCAAACAGTGCCCTGTTTTCATAAGACATATTTCAAAAAGTTTAAAAATCTAAAAACATTTTTAAAACTTGATTATTTTAGGGAATTCTGTAGTGACCTCTTTCATAAATATGGCAACCAAGGTTTCCTGATCTGAACAAGGCTAGAAGACAAAGTAGTGACTTGAGAAAGGGAACCAGGAAAATAACCTTCCTTTAGAACCCTATCCCGTGGATATAATTCCGGAATACTACATGTGACTAGCAAATGTCTCAAAATAACTTCTTCTTTTTTTGTTTTATTTTGTTTTGTTTTTTATGTTTCTTTTTTTTTATTTTTTTATTTTATTAGTTACAAATGTTTCTCCTTTTTTACCCCATTGACACCCTCCTCCCCATCCCCCCTGCCCCGTCCCCAGCTTTGTTGTCCATTTCCATTGGTTATGCCTAGATGCATATAAGTTCTGTGGTTTATCTCTTCCCACCTCCCACCACCCCCTCTTCTGAGGGTTGTCAGTCTGTACCCTACTTCAGTGTTTCTGGCTCTACCCTATTCCTCAGACTGTTATAGTCATTATATTCCATATATAAGTGAGATCATGTGGTATTTGTCTTTTTCTGCTTGGCTTGTTTCACTTAGGATAATACTTTTCAGGTCCCTCCATGTGGTCTCAAAGGATAAGAGATCTTTCTTTCTTACACCTGCATAGTACTCCATTGTGTATATGTACCACTGCTTTTTTATCCATTCATCTACTGATGGACACTTGGGCTGTTTCCATATCTTAGAGATTGTAAATAGTGCTGCTATGAACATGGGGGTACATATATCTTTCTGATTGGTGTTTCAGGCTTCTTAGGGTATATTCCTAGAAGCGGGATCACTGCGTCAAATAGAAGTTCAATTTTTAATTTTTTGAGTTAACATCATAGTGTTTTCCGTAGTGGCTGCACCAGTCTGCATTCCCACCAGCAGTGCACTAGAGTCCCCTTTTCTCCACACCCTCGCCAACACTTGTTTGATGATTTGTTAATGGCGGCCATTCTGACATGTGTGAGGTGATACCTCATTGTTGTTTTAATTTGCATCTCTCGGATGATTAGTGATGTTGAGCATTTCTTCATATGTCTCTTGGCCATTTGTATGTCCTGTTTGGAGAGGTGTCTATTCAGCTCCTCTGCCCATTTTTAAATTGGGTTCTTTGTCTTTCTCTTGTTGAGTTGTATGAGTACTCTATATATTTTGGAAATTAACCCCTTATCTGATGTATAATTGGCAATGATGTTCTCCCATACAGTGGGTTGCCTTTCTATTTTGATGGTTGTTTCTTTTGCTGTGCAGAAGCTTTTGAGTTTGATGTAGTCCCATGTGTTCATTTTTTCCTTTGTTTCTGTTGCCTTAGGTGATGTATCAGTGAATATTCTGCTGCATAGGATGTCGGAAATTTTGTTGCCTACATTTTCTTCTAGAATTTTTATGGATTCACGGGCCACGTTTAAGTCTTTTATCCATTTTGAGTTTATTTTTGTGTATGGTGTAAGTTGATGGTCTAGTTTCATTTTTTTTGCATGTAGCTGTCCAATTTTCCCAACACCATTTATTAAAGAGGCTGTCTTTACTCCACTGTATGCTCTTGCCACCCTTGTCAAATATTAATTAAGCATATTGCCTTGGATCCATTTCTGAGTTCTCTAGTCTGTTCCACTGGTCCATATGCCTGTTCTTGTGCCAGTATCAGGCTGTTTTGATTACAGTCGCTTTGTAGTATAACCTGATATCTGGTATTGTGATCCCACCTACTTTGTCCTTCTTTTTCAAAATTGCTGTGGCTATTCGGGGTCTTTTTTGGTTCCATATGAACTTTTGAAGTATTTGTTCTAGTTCTGTGAAATATGTCATTGGTATTTTGATGGGGATTACATTGAATCTATAGATTGCTTTGGGTAATATGGACATTTTAATGATGTTAATTCTTCCAATCCATGAATAAGGTATGTGCTTCCACTTTTTTATATCTTCTTCTATTTCTTTTTTCAATGTCCTGTAGTTTTCTGTGAATAGGTCCTTTACTTCTTTGGTTAAGTTTATTCCTAGGTATCTGAATTTTTTTGCCATGATGGTAAATGGGATTGTTTTTTCAGTTTCTCTTTCTGTGAGTTCATCATTGGTGTATAAGAATGCCGTCGATTTCTTGACGTTAATTTTGTATCCTGCTACTTTGCCAAATTTATTTATTAAGTCTAGTAGATTTTTGATGGAGTCTTTAGGGTTTTCTATGTATAATATCATGTTGTCTGCAAATAATGACAATTTCACTTCCTTCCTCCTTTCCAATTTGGATCTCTTTTATTTTTTCTTCATGTCTGACTGCTGTGGCTAAGACTTCCAGTACAATGTTAAATAAGAGTGGCAAAAGTGGACATCCCTGTCTTGTTCCTGTTCTTAAGGGAAATGTTTTTAGTTTCTGCCCATTGAGTATGATGTTGGCTGTAGGTCTTTCTTATATGGCCTTTATTATGTCGAGATATGATCCCTCTATTCCCACATTGCTGAGCCTTTTTATCAGAAATGGATGCTGGCCCTGGCCAGTTTGGCTCAGTGGTTAGAGCATCGGCCTGCGGTCCGGAGAGACCCGGGTTCGGTTCCCGCTAAGGGCACGTACTTCGGTTGCAGTTTGTCCCCGGCCCTGGTTGGTCGTGCGGGTAGCAGCCACTCGATGTGTCTCTTCACATCGATGTTTCTCTCTCTCTCTCCCTTCCTCTCTCTCCCTCCCACTCTATCTGTACAAAAAATGGAAAAATATCCTCGGGTGAGGATTAAAAAAAAAAAAAAAAAAGAAATGGATGCTGGATTTTGTCGAATGCTTTTTCAGCGTCTATTGATATAATCATGTGGTTTTTATTCTTCATTTTTTTGATGTATTGCTGGATCCGATTTGCTAGTATTTTGTTCAGAATTTTGGCATCTATGTTCATCAGAGATATTGGCCTGTAGTTTTCTTTCTTTGTAGTGTCTTTTTCTTGTTTTGGAATTAGAATTATGCTGGCTTCATAAAACGAGTTTGGAAGTCCTCCTTCTTCTTGAATTTTTTGAAATAGTTTGAGGAGAATGGGTGTTAGTTCTTTTTTGAATGTTCGCTAAAACTCCCCCGTGAAGCCATCATGGCCTGGGCTTTTGTTTGCTGGGAGAGTCTTGATTACCTCTTCAATTTCCTTAGTTGTTATTGGTCTGTTCAAGTTTTCGCCCTGGCCTGTTTGGTTCAGCGGTTGGAGCGTCGGCCTGCGGTCCTGAGAGACCCGGGTTCGGTTCCCGCTAAGGGCACGTACTTCGGTTGCAGTTTGTCCCCGGCCCTGGTCGGTTGTACGGGTGGCAGCCACTCGATGTGTTCCTTTCACATCGATGTTTCTCTCTCTCTCTCTGTTCCTCTCTCTCCCTCCCACTCTACCTGAACAAAAAATGGAAAAATGTCCTCGGGTGAGGATAAAAAAAAAAAAAAAAAGTTTTCTATCTCTTCCTGGTCCAGTTTTGGGAGACTGTGTGTTTCTAAAATTTGTCCATTTCGCTTAGATTGTCGAATCCGTTGCCATATAATTGTTCATAGTAGCTGTTAATGATCTTTTGTATTTCTGTGGTGTCAGTTGTTACTTCTCCTCTTTCATTTCTGATTTTGTGCATTTGGGTTCTCTCTCTTTGTTTCTTGGTGAGTCTAAGGGTCCATCAATCTTGTTTATCTTTTAAAAAAACCAGCTCTTTGTTTCATTGATCCTTTGAATTGTTTTTTGGTCTCTATGTCATTTATTTCTGCTCTGATCTTTACTATTTCCTTCCTTCTACTTGCTCTGGGGTTTTCTTTTTGTTTGCTTTCTAATACTTTAAGTTGTGAGGTTAGACAGTCAATTAGAAATTTTTCTTGTTTCTTGAGGTAGGCCTGTAGTGCTATGAACTTCCCTCTCAGAACTGCTTTTGCTGCATCCCATAGATTTGTAATGTTGTGTGTTCATTTTTATTGGTTTCCAGGAAGTTTTTAATTTCTTCCTTGATCTCCTCAGTAACCCATTCATTGTTTAATAACATGCTATTTAGCCTCCATGTGTTCAAATGTCTTTGCATGTTTTTGTTGCAGTTGATTTCTAGTTTCATGCCATTGTGATCTGAGAAGATGCTTGGTATGATTTCAATCTTTTTGAACTTGTAGAGATTTAGTTTGTGTCCTATCATGTGGTCTATCTTTGAGAATGTCCCATGTGCACTTGAGAAGAATGTGAATTCTGTAGTTTTGGGGTGTAATTCTCTGTAGATATCTATAAATCCATTTGGTCTAGTGTTTCATTTAGAGTCTCTGCTTCCTTGCTAATTTTTTGTC